GAGGCGATTTTCATCGAACTATTTAGCTGCTGCAAATCAACGCGGATGAATTAACTGAAGAAATATCGCGTTCAGTTGAAGAAGTAAGTCCTTTATACTGTGTCCAATTAAACAATATGTAGTGAGATGCCTTAGACTTAATATTCGACTTATATTCAGGGGTGCCGGAGCCACGGGGGCAGCGGGGACAACTGCCCCCGTTGCCGAAACAGTGCGGGGGCGGCAGGGGGGCAACAGGTTGCCCTTTTTCACCAGAACTGCAGCGCTTCCAAATTTGTAACATGAATTGGAATTTATAACTATTTTTAAGCAATGTTTAAGCAATCTTTGCTTAATTTCAACCAGTTATAGTAAAATAAATGCCAGAGGCCGCGGATTCACTTTTGTATAATTATGATCAAAATCAATCGATTTTACGTCGTTCACGAGCCGAACAAATTTTTTTTAAAATATGAAGTCCTATAACGTCGGAAATGGTCTTTACAGAGTCTTTACTACTGAAAAAAGGGCACTTTCTTTCTAGCCCCCCAAAAGGGCAGTTTTTCACTTTTAAAAAAGTCGGGGAGGCACTTGCCCCCATTGCCCTCCGGTTCCGCGGCCCCTGATTAATGCTAAACCAGGCAATATTATACGTCCGTTTACTGATTTTATTTTGCGCCCTTAACATGGTGCAACAAATAAAATTGTTCAAAATAAATGTCGAAGTTTGCCGACCCACAATAGCCACAAGTAATCGGGTATCCATACAATAAAGTTTTAACAAATATTGGCGAGAGAAGCAAATGCCCTTTTGAAGTGGCTGCCCCCGCCGCTTCATATTGCTTCCGGCGCCCCTGCTTATATTTGTCGTTTAGATTGAAGGATTAAAGCAATTCCCGTGCGAATATTGACGCAGTATTAAGCACTGGACAAATTAAACATGGGTTTTGCTAGTACTGCCAAACTAGGAAAACAAAACCCATATTTATATATGACTTATCACGCATGAGAAGGCATTGTCGATCATTCGAGAGGTAGGGAAAAGGAAAGAATATGTTCATCCATGCAGAGAAGATAAAGTTGTGCTTTTGATGCTGGTGAATCCGAACGGTTGATTCTGCTAACCAGCAGATATTCTAAAGTTTATATTATATAAAACACTAAATAAACGGCATGCTTTAATTAATACCAGTATAAAATATCTTACTGTATACTAGACAATATAGTCTAGATATGAATGTCATAAATAGCAGGTCCTAAGGCTTACGTCCAATTGTCAATTACAAGTCCAGATATTGACCTACTATACAGTGATTCAATGTCTACTGACATGTAATTTGTTAGTTTTGATCATTCTGTCACATCAAAATAGAAATGTTATTCCAAGATTCCATGATATTTCATATTTCTTATTTGACATTTCTTCTGTATGGTACAATATTGACGTAAGGGTATTAAACTTAGTTCTTATTCCTCTCCAAACGCTTTGTAGACAAACTGTTGGATGCCAGAAGATTTTACCTATATGCAAAGAATTATATACCCAGAAATATTTTTAATGTTTTTATTCCACTAGTAATTATCAGTGAAATCAGAAGAGCTTGGACCACTTGCTTATGTTGCTGGGGAGGGGCCCACAGGGCTGTGAGCACCAAATTCATGACTTAATGATATTGCTAGAATCCCTGAATCGTGCTTTAGAAAGCACACAACAATTGGCCTCTCTCCTCCGCAGAGAAATGCATCTTAATACTAATCGTAATCATGGCCAACAGAAGCCTCTGCGGAGGAGAGAGAGAATAGCCAAACCTACTTCTTTACATGTTGATAAAGTTGTCATAATAAGAACGTCCAAGCTCCTCCATTAGCAAAAAGTTTGTGGAATGACATTATTGAGCAATCTAATGTTGCAGTATCAAAAGAATGGCAGAGTCCTTGTGTTTTGAGAATATTGTTAAACTGTATGGCTGTTCAAAGTTTCTCATTTGCATGCAGGGATATTGTTTTAAAAGTACAATTGCAACAAAAACCCCGAAAAGAATGAAAAAGGTTGACAGCCAAATTCAGATGTGAATAGTGTACTTATTCACTACGTCAGTGTGCTCCGATTCTAGCCGTTGTTGTCTCTCAAACCACAATAATTCAAAGTTGAGCCTGCGTACCAATGTCTTGTATGTTTGAAGTGAAACAAAATCTTGTGTAATAGTGATTTACAGTATATATTAATTAGTACAAATTTTTACAAATTATTTAACTAAGGTAATGTATTGTTCTAGTCTTATTGTTCACCTATTCATTTATAATCTGTTTCAATAATTATTTTATACCAATGTACAAATTATTGCATATTACTCTTTTGAAGCAGTGCTGTCATTGAGTTTACAACTAGGTGGCCGAAAAATGATTGAACATTGAAGGCACAAGACTCCTAGAGGGGGGTCTGGGTGCATGCCCCCAACCCGAAATCTAAACAATCGGAAATGCCATTCCCTGCATTTTGGAAGGTGTTTTACAGAGTTCTTAAGATTACAAAACATCCTATCAAAGCCTGACCTGTTTGAAATAATTTAATCGTTTGTTTTAATTTTGATGTTCTGAAGTACAGGAAGTAAAAGGTTTGTTTATTGATTCACAGTTTTGTTTATATGAACTTTGTTGAGACAAAAGTAGGCAGCCAGATAGTCAAGTGGGCAGTAAATTTGGCCAGCTACAGGCCCTTAATGACAGCTCTGGGTACAAAACCCCACAAAATTTCTCACTATAGATTACTTCTTCTGTTTACGTTACGGCAAGGCCTCTTCTAATCCACCATATATACCATTTACTCCTCTGACCAGTGTGACGACCAGCAACGTTACCTGGCTCCAATTGTCGATGTAGAGAGGTATGCTTTTCTAGGGTAAATTAAAGGTAGGAATAGCACCAGCTGCAAGCCTGTTGCAGGTGGGAACTAAAGCAGAACATAAAATACCTGATTCTATATAAGTTGACTTTATACAAGTAATTATAATGACTAAAATTCACGCAAACAAGATGGATAATAACTGTAAATGGGGCTTTCTTATGCTATGACATGCCCAAACAAAATCCTGTTACTTTATTTTGCCACTTTTTGCTATTAAAATAGCCTTTGAATATTGTATAATACTTTGTTTTAATACTGTATACGAAAATGTTTCTACTGTCCTCAGTGACAGTGTTCTGAATTTATGTATACCTTCATTTTATGAACACAAGGATTAACTGTTATATAAATATGACCGAAACGCACTTTTATGCAAATAATTAATAAATATATATTTCCTGCTCCATATGGCTACAAATTTGATCATTTGATACATGAAATATATACGGCAAGCTTCTGCTAAGCTGTAACTTTCAAGCGTTCATACCGAAATATCAATACCTCTACCAGAGAAACCTATAGTTAGTCATAAGAAAATAACTTACATGTTTCGGCCGGGTCTTCCCAAAGTGTCTTTCACAAACGTGAAATGTTTGTTGAGCGATTTGATTTCGTAAACTTGCATCTATCTCGCGATCCAGCGTCCTTTGTGACAAGCCTCGCCAATGCTTCCCGAATTTTCGTCGATAAATCGTCGTCTTTTGTTGGAATTCAAAAAATACTAACACCAAAGTGTTTTCTACTAGTCCTGCAACCATATATGAAGCAATTTGCTCCTGGTGTTTGGATATTCATTCTATAAAAGACGTTTTTCAAGTACTACAGCCTCCTCTGTAATACATTCTCCTAGTACTAAATAGATTTTGATGCACCCGTATTGTCACGTGACAGAGAACAATAACATAATTTGTCCACGCACCCAGCTTCCAAACCCTCTCCTCTATTAACTATGGTTCAGTATGATCTGACAATCAACTTGAAGCATACTATTTATGACATATGCTACATTTCTTACGTCAATCGACTAAATCAACTATTGTTTGTTGTCGTACGAACGGCGTTATCAATAGTATAGTGTTACAAATTATTCTACACAGGGTATTTTAAATATGAGCCACAATACATGCAGCTGTTGTTCGTGGTCCAACACACGTTGTTCAGCGTTTTCTTCAGCCTGTAATCGTCCACGACCTATACCACGACCTCTACCGCGACCGGCCTCTTCCGCGACCTCTACCGCGACCTAGAGCTTTCGATCCACTCATCCACGTATGGTTTCTGAGGCAGTTTCACGATCCTGAAGCCGAGAAGAAGTTTTGCCAATTTTTCTTTGACCGCGTGCACGGCCCCTCGCTCGCTTTGCACTTGGTTCCTGAATGTCATAAGACTCATCACTATCATGCTCGTATGCTCCCTAAAATTGTAACATATATATTTCAAAAACTAGAATCCAGGAGCGGGTATTAAATACAGAATTTCTTACATATTTTCAAAACGTACGTATCTGTGTTTCACCTTCTGATGTTTCTCTTGAATTATCTGTATCACTTTGGTTGCGCCGATTCCAACACGAAGTGCTGTCTGGGTTGCAAACAGAAGAGCAAAACTGTCCTGTTGCTTTTCATGGGCAAGCATTTCTGCCTTTCTCCCAGGCACATTCCTCTACATGAACACACTGCCATGTTTTTGTCCAGCGATTTCCTCAATTGCACTGTGCTCTATTTCGTCTGCTGTGCTTAATATACTTTCGTCCATTGCAGCATAGTTTCGGCAATCAAACGCGATATGCCCTTTTCGGATTGGCAAGACCAGCTTGGCCTGGTGGCATTTCATTTTACTTCCCAATCAAGAAGTATTGTAAACGGACCACACACAAAGTCAATATATTAAAATAAAATCCAGGTGAGACATAGGAGAAGATCGTAAAGACTTCGTGTAAGGCAGTTATAATGGTTCAAAATAAAACCAAAAATGTAAACAATGCGCAGAAATGATGCGCAGAACGGACTTAACTTCCACTTTAAAGTTTCGAGCGATGCAGAGAAGAGAATATTGAAGGTGTCTAAAGCCATCACTTCAGAGAGAGCAAGTCCTGTTCATAAGACATATGTATTTACAGCAATTCTCTCTTGGCACAAAATTATTAGGTACAAAATCGTGATGAAAAAATCTATTTGTCGTCGATGAATTGATGAAAACACAGTCGCTGTTATTATAACCTGAAGTTCTGGCCCTAATTTTAAATAGGGCCTGACACAAAACCTGTCTAGATAGTGGGAGGCCCACATGTTATTTTTAGACACAGTCATGCAATTAGCCTGCTCACAGACGTTGTCATTCTTACGCCAAGCGACGAAAAACAACCGTCTGCTTATCAGAGCGCCAAATTGAATTCCGCTACGTCGACCAATCAGAATTGACCATCCAAATTCTGGAAAGTGACGTCAGTTGATTTAGGAGCGGAATAAATATAACTAGAAGTTACTATCGCAAGGAAAGTGCTGCCTCAACCCGTCTTCCATCACACAAGCATGTAAGGCACCGCTAAAGGCGGATTTCCAGTCCTCGCACGAATCTCCTCGCAGCTCGCTGCGAGTGCATGCATGAGCACTTTCATCCAACCACAATGCTAAACAGTTAATTTTAATTAGATGCAAGCACTGACAGCGAGCTGCGAGGAGCTTCGTGTGAGGACTGGAAAACCGCCTTAAGACACCTGTTCAAGAGGTAGGAAATGTGCAATTTGAATACGAAAACACCTTGCAGAAAGTCGAAGGTCAGCTAGATATTCTAATCATAAAGATTATAAATAATACTAGAAGAGACATTGAGGTTAAAAATTTGGGAACACGGGGGGGGGGGCAAATGTATGTCCCGGATATAAAATCATACTCTCACCAATGGGAACACAAGTACACATGCAGGAATTTGCCCCCAATAGCAGGATCCTTAAAAATTCCTTCGTTCTAAAAAAAGGAAGGACTTTGTGAAAGTCTACAGGTCATGCTATGCACATTTTTAATGATTTGCATTATTCAGATAGATGCAGGTTTATTGGCATAGCATGACCAGTTGTCATGGCTAGTTTGCCACTGAATAATGTACAATATCATTGGTAACAAACAATAATAATACTTGAATGAATCATTGGATATGTCGAATTTAATTACAATTTCATACATAGAAATACTACCAGTAAGGGCCTGTTCATATGGGCAAAAGTTAGTGTTAGCGTGAAAACTTTTCAACAAGTTTACAAGCGAGATCTCACCTTGGTATGAAAATAATATGAAAAGTTACATTGCGTTCATATGAGACAACAACTTTTTCCGTGTACCAAGATCGCGCTTGTTGACAGGCGAGATGTCAGTGACCGGGATAATGGTTTTCCCATATGAACACAACTTTCCCGCTTAGTGGGATAACTTTCTGTCGTGTCAGCAACTTTTCAATTCATGTTCGGCGCTACGTCACCGCCGGAAACTTTACCAGGTAAGCGTGGTGAAGGTTCTCCATGTGAACAGAACAAAAGTATTTGGCTAGTCGAAAAGTTTTCTCCTTAAATCGGGATAACCTTTGCCCATATGAACAGGCCCTTTGAAGTCAGTTTTGTCCCAACTACCATTTTAATGGCACCTTCAAGGCTACCCCTACCGTAGAACTACTGAACAATGAATCTGCCAATCGGGAGGCAAAATCTATTTTGTTGACATTTTTGTTTAATACATCTGCTTCATTCATTTGTAATGACTATATATATAATAAGAAAGAAATTGTGAGCATTATTGTATACAATTGTGTGTTCCAATGTGGGTATCATGCTGCTCCAGTTAGTTGTCATCGGCCACGAAAATAAAACAATTGCAATTGGCCACTATCGAAATTGTCCCAGGTCATGACTATTAAGACCAGCATTTCTCGCAGGCATCAAGCCTTGAGACTTCATTACGCATAAGTTATTTGATATACAGGGTGTCCCAAAAAGTTTCTCTATTTAACCGAACAGTAAATAAAGATTTAATTAGCCAGTTCTGTGCATGGCTTAATTGAATGCCAAGCTTTCTCAAGGTCTCAACTTGCTGGACACGGATATACTCTCTAACGGGCTAACAACAGCAAGAACAAAATTCTTAATCGTACCACGAAGAAGGCGATGTAGCTCAGAAAAAACGCCTGCAGTAGGACCTGAAAAATAAGACTTTTGCCGAAGCCAGTTGGCAGAACAGCAAAGACATCTTGGCTGTCAGCAACAAGCTTTCGAATACACGACTAGACGGGACTAGTTTTGCTGTTCTTTCAGCGTCGTGTGTCCAAATTTCGTCAAAGATTTTGATAAAACCCTTCAAAATACTGTTTGTTTGATTTATTTTCTGCCATAAAGCATAAAAGAAAAGAAATTCGAAGAAGTTCGACAATCAGTGGAATTTGATACATACGTTTGTTGCCTTGACCGAGCTATTTTTAAAACTATTGTTTATGTGAACTTGCAACCAATCAAAATCTTTCATGATGCTGATCAACCATGATCGATCAGATTTCCCGTTTACCAGATGGACGGGAATCCAACAGTTTAGACAGGTTTTGTGTCAGGCCCTATTTAAAATTAGGGCCTGATTTTCAGGTTACTGCTATTAAATAGACAGCAATCCAACGAAGACACCACAGTCAATATCTCTAGAGCTTCGTGAACCAAGTTCGTAAATGACTTTATTGTTCAACCGTAAATCGTGACCTTTAGTAAGAGTTAATTACCGAGAACTAGGTTTCTTAGCGAGAAACAACCCGAGGGGCGTGACCAGAAGAAAGCATCTCGAGGGCCGAAAGCCCGAGGGATCCTTTCTGAGGGCTACGCTCCCGAGGGATGTTTCTCACTAAGAAACCGATGTTCGAGGTAATTAACTAATTTAGTTCAAATTTGTAAGGATTTTAAAAAATGTCGCCCACTACTAGTATTCATTAAGGAATTCGAAGGTACATGCATGCATGTAGGCAGAACAAGGAAATGCAGTGAATGATCAAGTACATGCACAAGGCTCTACGAATAGGCTAAGGTAGAACAAAAGAAAATTAGGGAAAGTCACGCTTTGTAAATTTTCTTTTGTCGGTATACGTTAAAAGCATTCTATATGATTTGTCTACCTCGTAAACACTTATAGCAGTCATATTTTGTTAATTAACGTACAAGGAAAATGAATTAATATTCCAAATGATTGTTCGTACAGCACACTGTAAATTATAGAAATTTAGCTAGACATGTAGATGGCCATTTTCTTCAGGTATGCATGTATGCATGCATGGAGAGTGGGCGATGGTTAAACTATGAACGACAGAAACAGCAACGAAGATATGTTTATAACGCAAAATATACCGCAAAAATTCGTCATGTAGAGGACTGGTCATCGCGACATAAGATCGTTGCAGAAATATGAAAGACCCAATATTAAAACAAAAATTGGAATATCAAAATCTTTGGATTGTGGCGTTAGCAGGGGCTGCAAAGAAAAAGACAGCAGTGTAAGTGAAGACTCGATGCCGATGGCTGAGAAGAGAAATTCTAGGAAGGAAGAGATGCAGCATAAACATATGAAAAGGAAGAGAGCACGGCTGGAAATGCCGGAGGGAAGTTCTTTTGATCGGTGCATTTTTAACTTCTATTAATTTGAACAATTTGAGTTTGCGTTTTATCGTATTTTAGGGTGTTTTATATATCGTATTTTAGGGTGTTACAGTGGAACAACTGGTACATGCATAGTATACGGTACATTGTTGTAATAATTAACTTTTGTAATGTTTTGATTGTAGTGTGTGTAAAAGCAGTAAGTCGGTGCTTTTCTGCATCGGGTTTTATCTGTATAAAACTCGGCTTTCCTAGGGTTTTATCTATATAAAGCCGGGTTTTATATAGATAAAACCCGTGAATTTATAATTATTAATTCAATTCTATTCATCAACCCCACTTTTCCCTGGAGAGATATCAAATCCCTCCCCTTGCTTTAAGAATCTTACCCAAATAAAACCTGGCCCGGCTGAGAACAATAGAAATCCGCACAAATGTGAACTAAAGCTCTTTTGAATGCAAAACTAAAAAAAACACCTCTCAATAATACATCCGCCGTGTTTGTATGAATTTTAGCATAAATTAGCATATTTTTTCATTTTGAACCAATCAGATTTCTCGTCCTCTGAGACACAGAATAGATAATAGGACCAGAAGTCTCACTCAAGCGGAAACATGTCCCATCTTTTATACTGCGCATGCGCGAGCTAAACAAGTGTAATGCAGTGTTGACAATAGAAAATTATATTGGGAAGTTGTCATTTCTACACTAAAACAGCTTTTTTTCAAGTAGTACGAAATGTGACTTCGATTTATCTGTGAACTATTTGAACAGAAGGTAAAACAGTAATTTTGTTGTATTTAGAAAGCGAACAGGGTTATATTTTTAAAAACATAGCGCACTGAATATAAATTTGAGCATCATTAGAATGTGTTCGCTATGATGCCATTTTGTCTCCGGTATATACGGATTTCTGCTTTTATACTTGCGGATATTCGAATTTATTTGGCTCAAAAACACCATTACTTCAATATACCTTTCTTGTTTTTCCTTGGATAAGTTTTAACAAGGTAGAACTCTAGATCACTTGGGTCCAAAGACGCTTGATTATAAAATCCTGATGTGACTTGATACTACAAATAGAATATGTCTTATGATTTAATACTACTAGAAAATACATGCATGCAGCAACCCCTCGCCTTTCTTACTTAACAGATGAAGTATAAAAAACCCACATAAAGTATAAAGACCATTGCTAAAAATACATAAAAACACAACTGATGCGCTAGCTTTATAATGAACGATAACATTCACTGCAATTTCATGCCTACCAGCTTGCATTAAAGTGAATTATCGAGTTAAGAATGGCTTAAAAATTTCGCAGATATGAATAAAGCCGACAACACCAAGCAAGCACGGCATGGAATTTTACTACTGAAATGTAATACACTTACTTACCCAAACCGGCACAACAACGATTAAATTATCAAAGAGACAAAGACATCAACATCAAAACACCAAAACAATTATTATGCAAACTTTGTTTCACGGTTGAACAGCCACTAATTCATGAAACTGCAGGCTTATTTCCAGTTAGAATCGAGAAAAAAACCGTGTTGTACTTTTGTAAACTTTTTAATGAAATTTAAAACAAAAATTGCTGTAAAACAGCAAAATACGTCCTTTCAAAATGAACAGAAATTACTTCGACAGATTTTGTACTCGCGCATGCGCATAACGTCGAAAACCGTCCATGACATAAATAATATGGAGGACAACTTTGCACTCCGCTATGTTTTCACATACCCGAGTATAATTAGCCGTGCGGAATTAGTACCCTCGCACGGCGCTTCGCGCCGCCGGCTCGGGGACAAATAGAATGACTTTTATGTACAAACTTCAATGAATTGATAAAGTGTAAGGATAGTGTTTAAAGTCGCTTCATGTGTAGAAGCTGAATTACTTTAGATTATATACTGTATATTGTCGAGATCACATGTTGATATGATTTACTAGCAACTTGCAATAAGTGGTCTGTTTTGCTTGTTTATAATACTTTAGAGTTTGGACATTAGAACATTGTAATTGCCTGACAGAGACTGTTAGGGCCTGTTTGTATGGAAGCCGGGCTGGCCCGCTTAGCGAGACAGCCCGGTAAGGTTGGTAAGCAGGATATTTCTCTTGTGTTTATTTGAGAAAATTTCATCCCGCTTACCGGGACAATTTTGTTGTTTTGACATTGTTTTGATAATTGTTTTTGTTTGTGGAAACACCACGTAAATTTATTACTGCAAAGCTTTCGATCCGTAAGCCCGGATCTTCATCAGTGCTAATAATATGTCGTGAAAGTGGTAATAATATGTCGTTTTTATGTTGTTTTGTGCACTGATAAAGATCCGGGCTTACGGATCGAAAGCTTTGCAGTAATAAATTTACGTGGTGTTTCCACAAACAAAAACAATTATATTTTATCGCCATGCAAACATTCAAAGAACTTATTGTTTTGATAGTTGTTAAAAATAGCTTGCGGAAGTATTTTTGAACTTTCATCCCGCCAAGCTGTGTGGGTGTGTTTTTGCTCTAGCTAGTTTTACATTTACATGGTTCACGTACAATTAATGTACATTTAAATTAGCTTTGTTCAATGAATGTATACAGGTGTGATTCAAATATCATTCCTGTCAGGTATTTGTGTCAAATAGACATATAAGTATACCAAATCATGCTATGAATTGAAATAAAGGTATAGGGTGTGTATTGTTTAATAAATATATTTTCCAGTTAAATTAACCCAGTAAGCTGCATTGTGCCCCAATGCAACCTACTTTACTAGTTTATTTCACTTCATCTAATGCAGATAATTTTACTTATCGAGGGAGAGTGCTGCTGCTCATTGAGCTCTGATTGAGTTCACTGAGTGGCAGCACTTTCCCCTTGACGAGTGAAATTGTCTGGTGTTAGACAGAGTAAAATAATCTTGCGTTCAATCAAGCAGCTACCTTCTCAAAAATTCAACCAGGCTAAAGATTCTTTGATTTGAAAACCAAAATACAGAATTGTTTGATTTATTTACGTTCCACAACATTGACAATTAAAATTTAATTTGATACTTTTCCAGTATGCATTCTTCATTGACATTATGTAGGTTCAGATTTAACTACCATTAAGGGACCATCAACCAATCAAATGCATTTGATATATTCGATCAACCATTATAACCAATCAGATGCATACTAAGGCAGTCAGAGATCGTGGTAGTAGAACTCAAATCTGAACCTCTATAGTGAAAGTGTGAGTTTATTCATAAACTAATTATAATGTTACGAGGCTTTATTTAATTTAAGTAGTGAATCGTTACAATCAACCTCTAATAACTATCAGTTCTTAATATAATGGTCGCCTTCTCGTAGTAGTTTCCTAAAGTTCACTGAGAATCCACTGAGATATCATGCACTGAAAGATCATCCACTCACCGAGAGGTCATCCACTGACAAATTTGGGTTGTACACGCACTTTTATACTAACGGTTGAGGGGATCTTGTACACGTGATGTAGCAAGTGGTGTGAGTTGTATCCAACCAATCAACGTTGAGGTTTAAAAGTGTGGGTTGGCGTTGGTAGCTCGTTCCAGCTCTCAAATTCTGTTTATTTAAGGCGTTGTCGCACTTGTCGAGTTGGTTCGCTGTTCAATCGATCAATATTAAAATATGTTCACAACTTAAAATACTTATCAAAATATCATAGTAAAAACTTCAAACTATACCTATGTGAACCTTACTTTACCTACTAAAATAAATTTACTTACAATTTTATTGAACCAAGATTTTGATGACGTAATGTTATCATTACTCAACCGCGCGAAATATACCGAAGAATGATTGACAGAAACGCCCTAAGCATGCACATTTTCATGTCAAAGAAGAACCAGCCTTGGACTTTGAATTATGTAAACACAACAGTCCACCATGCAAGGTTATCGTCCAACTTTGACAAATTATTTATCTTGCCTAATGGACAGATAATTGACACTTTTACACAAGTCCGAAATGATATATACTTTATCTGTGTTTTACAGCAAAAATGCTCATTATCTCACCATTTGACGAATCTAGTATCTATAATTACCTGGGGTGCAAATTGAACTACCGGGTGTCCCAAAATAAAGTACTCCTGTTTGATTCGTAATAACTTCTAAACAAGTAAAGCTTTTAAAGAGAAATAACTTGCATCAAATAGAGGTAGGACTAACTTAGATTTTGATATATTACAGTTGTATTTCACTTAAAAATTAACGGAGATATTAATCTTTAAAATCGGGAGCATATTTCTGGATGTGTCTGAAATATGTAAAAAACGGCGTGTCAAATATTAATCAAGATTTGCCCGACTGAAACATGCACTATTACCAGTAAATAAATGACACTTGACAAATTGTTTATTATGAAACAAAGTATTATTATATCTACAAAATACAAGCAAGATTTATCCGTCCGAAATTCACGTGCGTTCCTAGTACTAATACGTTTCCTTATTTCATGAGACCACTACATCGCGAAGGATCGTCATGGATCGTTCGTAGTTCTGAATTAGGGCATGCTGTCACAAAGGAATTGTGAAGCTCTTCTAACTTCTGCAACGTTCTGAAATCTTGTTTAAGAACACCCAAACTCTTTCGCCTTTTTCTTAATCTTGGAAAGTTCAGAGTAAACTGAGAATTATATGAAACACAATCAAACCATATAACCCCATAAGACATAACAATTAAGCAACTCCCCAGAGACATGCAACATTTTTGGAACAAAACGTAACAAAATAGTAGCGTTGATGCGGTGATGTGTATTTGCAAAAAGCAATATTATTTCCTTCAATAAAGAATAACATTCATCCTGCTCTAACCGAGAAATAATCAACTCAGTCTGTTTCAACCCATTAAAAACTTAAAATATTAGGCTATTTAAGAAAAATTTAAGCGCCTGCCTTCCATGGTCAGTCTTTCGTGTACTTTTAAGTTCGTAAAGACCTAATATAAAATACTTGCATAATTTCGAACGTTCATATTTCAGGAAACAATGAGCTAAGACTTACATGTAAGATGTCTAAATCTACGCCATATCCCTTACAAATCCTAACGATAATTCGCTGAAATACAAGTTAGCCTGATATGTCATTAAGCAAACAAACGCGGGAGTTAATATTTGATATGCCGATTTTCGCTAATTTTAGACACATTCCAAAATATGCTTCCGATTTTGAACATTAATATCTCCGTGAATTTTTAAGTAAAATACAACTGTAATATATCAAAATCTAAGTTAGCCCTTCTTCTATTTAAGGCAAGTTATTTCTCTTTAAAAGCTTTACTTGTTTAGAAGTTATTACGAATCAAACAGGAGTACTTTTTTTGGGACACCCGGTATTTTTATACTATTTAGATATACTTTCGTAACAATAAATCAACTTCCATGCAATGCTTCATGCAATCATCTAGTTATGCACCAGTCAATGTAAATCCCTGCCCCCAACAGGGGAGGGGCGGGAGGTTTAGCGGGGAAAGTGGTCAGTTTTGATTATAAATTTGTCCCCGATGATGGGAGACTTGGACGGTGGTTAACATATATATCCTGTGTTGCTGTTTTAGTTTTCTTGACAAGGAAAGTTTAAATACAACAACAACAACATAAATGAATTTGATTTTCTATTGCTGATCTATGATTATACAAAACTATTTTCCCGGGGTTGAGAGATATGCAGGGGACATTGATGTCCCCGGAGGCGGGACAATTTTGCTCTTTTACTACCCCTCCAAGTCAAAATCCCTGCCCCTCCCTGGTTGGGGGGTTTACACTGACTGGTGCATTAATTAAAGAGGTGTCAGTGCCACATATGTAGTAAAAGCCAACTTGTCAGTAAAAGCCAACTTGTCAGTAAAGGCCACAGAGCAAGAATGTATTTCAAAGATTGCCAGTGACAAAAACAATTGATAGGCCTGAAATAGAGTATGCCAACAGTTAGTATACTGCAAATAACTATCCTATCAACAAGATAATGTGTGTTTTTACAAATGTTTTTATATATCAATCCAATGGCATGTAACCTAAAATTCAGCAGTGTCTGTGTAATGTAATACACCCTTACTTCTCAATGGTCAAATTAACTATACTACATTGTGTATAATAATATATGGACTGGTTCAAAAATATATTGAATTTATAACTTATAAGTGTTGAACTGGTGAACTATTGATGTGGAGATTATGCCAAGTATACAATGGCACAAGGATTTTCATGTTATCAGCATGATTAAATCGTAAGATTGTGCAAATAATCTGTGTAAATCTCTTAGAGATACCCTCAGCAGCTACATTTTAAGGTAAAATGAGTATGGTAAAGCTATTCAAGGCAAAAAAGCGATGGATCTGTCAACCTCGTTGTTAACAGTAAATTTAACTAAGGCCAAAAAAAAAATATGTGGGTTTCCGGTTTCTTCTTATAAAAACTTAGGTAGGGTAGGTCGGTTTTAACTTTTTTTTTTAAACTTTTTTTTTAATTTTCCGAATAAGCGGACGCCATTTTGTTTAGTAAGTGCTTCCACATCCAAAGATAAATTTCCCTAATATTTCCTCAAATTTCAATTTTCCACAAACTTTTTCCTCTAAGTGGAAACACATACAAGCATGATCCAATAAAAAAGTTTAGGGTCGGGATTTCGACGTCCAAAAGATAGGTAGGGTCGGGAAACCGGAAACCCACATATTTTTTTTTTGGCCTAAGTTTATGATCCATTTATTGCCGTATTTTAGCTGAGAATTCATTTAAGACAATGCAATACGATAGACTAATTACCTTTGAATTTATCATATATTCTTTTAAAATGGTCACCAAAGCTCTAAAACTCGATTGGTATCGTTTTAACTTTCTCACTCCTTAATGTTTACGCCGTGTAAATTTGTCAAATTACACTTGTTTAGGACACTGGAAACGAGACACGGCCAAAATGCGCGAGGCGACATGCGCGGTGAGACTTCTGGTCTTATTATTTATTTTGTGGCATGGGGTTTCGTGCAGGCTGTCCTTTGTTTGATAGCCGCTACGGAGTTTGGATCCTACTTGATATATGTAAGTACGATGCACTTTAATTAACAAAATAATAATAATAAATTATTTGTAGTATAGGCTTTTAATACGTTACACGAAAGGCAATGATTTTGAATATTTTGATTGGCCGTTTATAATATAGTATCAAAGCCGATCAGTTAAAGATGTTTATGCATGCCACTGAAGTGAACTAAAGCCTTCCATCTACAGTATATATTGCTTTGAACACACTATGTACACCTTTATGCATTAATTGCACCAGAATTAAACTTAACTAGAGTTAAATAAAAAGTATCTTTGTTTTGAGACTTATTATACGGCTTCGTGACAGTGTTCAAAATGTGCATGTCTCGTTTCAGTGTGCGTGGCACAGTGTTCAATGGACCATTTGCAATTAGTATAGACTAAATTTTGATCTAGACAAAAATTTCATCACAGGTTGAAAGGGCATCACAAAATTAGTAATATTCCAAAGTTTCGTTGCGAATTGTTGTAAAATGCGAATAATATAGCCTTGCGAAGTTTGCCGGTTTTCAGTCATTTTGTAAATACGCACGGGAAATCGACAGCCCAATCGGGTGTTGGGGCATTGTAATAAGCCTGTAATACACAATGACTGAAAATTGCAAATTTCGCAAGGCTATATTATCCGCATTTTACAACATTTCGTAACGAAACTTTGGAATATTACTAATTTTGTGATGCTCATTCAACCTGTGATGAAATTTTTGTCTAGACTTGTCTAGATCAAAATTTAGTCTATAATGCAAATGGTCCATTAGTACAAGCATTCCTTGTTCGTTGTTGTTGTTGTTGTTGGATTATACATTTTGTCACACAGGTTGCGTGATCATAATATTGCTACTATAAACTTGAACTAGGAGTATTAGGAATGAGTGTTTCATCATTGCTTCATGTACAACGAACTATATTGAAGACACAAACTGTATATAAAATGCTATGCAAGAATATATTCATTAGGCTATACCATGCAAATATATCTCATCCTTTGTCTCTACTAATCATAAAAGAAATGGTTTCTATTGGGCTCCCTTGCCAAGTATAATGTATACTTATTCTTTCTTTTGTATGATATTATTTCTTTATGGCTAAAATAAATTTGATTTGATTTGATTTGAAAGAACAATTTCGTAAACAAGGTATTTCCGCATCCTACTGCGAAAGCTATGAAACGAGAGTCAGGCACCCAATATTTATTTATTTGCTGATTCGCCCAAGATATTGAAATTACACATAAAATAAAAAAATAAACTATTTACAAGAGATAGAGATGGGCTAGGAGCCTACTAGAAATCATATGGCTTTTGTTTTAGGTCCCTATAGGTTATAAGTTTAAACTAATTAGAAATGAAAATGATATGCAGCATCTGCAGTTCGAGTGCTTTTAAGAGATAAGCTATATTTACAATTCAATTTATAGTTTTCCTATATACTTACAGGAATATGTTATTCTATTAATGAAATTTAGATCTGAGAGGTACCTTTTCATATTAAAAACGTAGTTTACGATGTAGAACGGGGACATGACGACGACGTCTAGAACAGGCTGTTTCAAATAAATGATTGCAAGGGAAACTTAATTATCTATTCTCAATCGTATGAAATTAATTAATACAGTTTTATGAGGTCAAAATTTGGAGTTCATTGTTGGGAAGGTTAATACTTTAGAGTCCAGAGCAACTTTATACTAAGGCAGCGTTTACACTGTACCGTTTTCGTAGCGTTCTCGTATTGTTCGAGAGAACTAGACTATTGTCTTGCGTTCCCTTGAGGATTAAGAACAATACGAGAACGCTACGAAAACGGTACAGTGTAAACGCTGCCTAAGTATACTCCTCGCGTCTTGAAATACAGGGTGTATAAAAAAAACGCAACTCGGAATTTCCTAAGAAATCCCTTTGCAAAGCATAAAAGATTTTAGGCCTCTGGGAATTGAAATCGAATTGCTAATAGATCATATTACTGTTGTTGTGCATTAAATAAATGCATAAATTTTGCTTTATGCACTCGCGCGTGCAATAATTTTGACAGTTGTGTTATTTTAAATTCCCAGGCGCCTAAAATCTTTTGTCTTTAAAACCATGCCTATTTCTTGGGAAATTCCGAGGTTGCGTTTTTTTTATACACCCTGTAGTGCGTACAGGCAATAGAGACCTTACGAATTTAGGACGGCGACGGCAACGGCTACCAATCCAATAGATCACTGAAAAGAATTGAGTAATTACAATATATGAATAATTTAGACATTGTCCTCGCTCTGTTTACAACGCCAAATCACAGATTTTCACGTCTTGATACAACGGCTGCATTCCAAGCCACAACAAATGCAACTTCAAACTGGGTTTAGCAGTTCAAACTTCAACTTCAAACTGGGTTTAGCAGTTCAAACGGCGTTGTCACTTGGTTTTGGGCCTTTAAAGTGAACTATATATTTTGGTTTTGTGTTTACCTCTCATTAACAGCAACATTTGCATTTACGTTTTGTTTTTATTGGCGCAATATTTGCGATTCATTTAAAGTCTCGCGGTTGCTACGTGGCGTGGATATATAGGCAGCGTTTACACTGTACCGTTTTCGTAGCGTTCTCGTATTGTTCGAGAGAACTAGACTATTGTCTTGCGTTCCCTTGAGGATTAAGAACAATACGAGAACGCTACGAAAACGGTACAGTGTAAACGCTGCCATAATCATACCATATCTTGGTCTCAAATTCAGGGATTTCCCCTCATTTACATCAGCCGCATCTCAGTAACTAAATCTGGTGTTCTGTCCTGTCCTGTCAAGTTCATATTTTGTCTCATTTTAAATCTTGCACAATGCTATATGACACTGTCAACTAATATATTCGATTGCGAACCTTGCTTAATACGAACTCTTAATTCACATTGCATAACAATCTTGCATGCATATTTATACAGGTGTAGCGGTCTGAGGTTGTCCTCGTGCTGAGATTGTTCTAGTACTACTGCGCATGCTCCAAGTGTAGCATGCAATCTCAGCACGTGGTACGGCGGTCTGAAATTGTATCGTGCTGAGATTGTCGTGCTGAAAATGCCGTGCTGAATTTGTTGTGCTGAAATATTTTAATATCGTTTCCACATAGGTTTTATGTGATCTTTTAAGAGTTTAGGAGAAATTGTATAAATTTCAGAGCCAAATTTATCGATTAG